AGAGTGCTCAGAAGAATTCATTGTTGAAGGATATTGCCTGTGTGCAGTGGAATATTTGATGAGACCTTTCAAACTGACCGTCATTTAACCTTAACATTAATCATCAGTACCATCTTTGATTATTAAGCTAACGCAAGATTGATTGAGATGTCTCTTAGGCTAACGCTTCGATCTCTTCATCTTCCTCAGAATTCTCCATATGGCGTATTCTTCGTATCGAGTCGAATCTTTTTCAGTGGAGCACCACTCGAATGAGGCAACCCCATATGGACCATCGACTCGGATCATCAGCTTTGAGTTAGACAAAAACTTCAGAACGTTAGTCGAATAGACATCTTTATTAACATCGTGTTAGCTTAATAATCGAAGGTATTTAGTGACAGTACATAGCGTAACGAATGGAAATAACATTTGAGCGCATTCCCGATGCAGTCTACATTGCTCTTGTCCTTATTGAGAAAGACATTTGAAGTGATCGCGTTTACGGATGATGTGCAGGACGTATTCCTAAAGCAGTGAACTTCTCATCTCTCTGAAAGGGTGGGCAGTAGCTTCACTTATTAATCGAGATTCGTCCTAAAACTGTTTCGTCGGGATTTTGAAGGGAAGTAAAACTTTGTTGGTAATAGAGTTTCATTCGGATGAAAATAAGATTCAGCGAGAATCGCACTTATGGTAAAGACGTTACATCTAAATTTATTAAATGAAAGAAGTCACCGTGCAAGTTTGTAATGAGAGTTTCTAAGCCGAGAATGGGTAGTTTGGAAGAATACTGCATAATCAGGATCTCTTTGGTAACTCTTTTTGAGAAGACACTTGTATAGATGAGCTCTTAGCGGCTTTCCGTTGGAGAAGAAATCATTTCTACATAAAATGACAGCCATTGACGTCAAATATTGGTAAGCATAGCTTTGATTTCTGACCGAAGTTTCAGTTCTACCGTCTCCTTTTTTCTAGCATATCCTATTAGGGGTTTATGTAGTGCCTTGAAACTTGTCTGCATTCTTTTCTACATGTATATACTAGGATGAAAGTGGTCATTAACGATTTGATAAGGATGCAAATATACTGATTTGTAGATGACCTTCATCTGGTGTGTTACTGCATCGTTTGCGTTCCACAACCGTCCTCATCTATATGCGGATCTGAACGATGTTCGTAATCAATGTCGACCATCTTCCAATTCTGATTTACTAAACTGTTGTTATTCTGACGACGCTATAGTTTCACCACTGTTAGCTAGAGCTCTATAAAGTGTTTTAAGGTGACGACTCTCATTTAACTTTGGTATGGATAATAAATGTGTATTTCCTTTCATTGATAAGCTAACACGAGGTTGATAGACAACTCTTATTCGGCTAACATTTCGACGTCTTCCTCTTCTTTAGAGCCCTGATGATTCCGATAGGCTTGTTCATCCTCACTATGTGGGTCTTCGACGAGTCGACAGGGCAACGAGAACCCACACGGAGAGCACGAACGGCCCTATCGCAATCGTCAGGGCTATGGTGAAGAAGACGTCGAAACGTTGGCCGAATAAGACTGTTTTCCAACCTCATGTTAGCTTTATAAAGTAAGTACTTGGTGATGTACCTCATCTTATAACACCTCATTTATCTGACCTCAATTAGAAATGTATGATACTATTTTTATGTATATAAGAAGAGATATGCTCGACGCTGTTATGTGACCCACAATAAGATCTTGGCGGTACCTCGAAAAACGCTACCTCATGTGTACAGAGTATTTTTTTTTATTATTTAGTTTAGTAGTAGTTTATGCAGCAGTGTTCGTTTAAGAATAGTTTACTATTGGAATGAAGATGTTAAGAGTTAAACTTGTACAGGGCGAAAGAGTTGCCGGCGAACAGCTGATATTTTCCGTGTTCCACTTTTCATATTTTGCTAGCATCCATGTCATAATGTACTAGAGAACTACTTTTGTCTTCTCTGCAGTGATATGTCTGTAATGGTGCATGGAGTTTAGAAAGAGTAAAAGTGAATAGCAAGCCTTAGGAATTCATTTACACATCGAGCAGAAAGGATCTATTACAGTGATTTTGGTTGCGTATTGTTAAACCAATGCTGAGATAAGAAGGTACTTAGTGTCTTCGCTTTCCGTTCACAGGGTGCTAAATTCATCAAAAGCTCGAATGTGTCAAAATGTCTGTGATGCTTTGAATGTCTTATGGCGTTTACAAAAGTCTAAAGTGAAAAAAGACAAAAGGCACTTCGGTCCTCACTATCCGGTAAGCATGTCATTATTACACGATATTCCTTCCCTTCGTCTATTGACTAGTTCACCCACGTCTCCACTAGGGTGAGTGGATGGCAAATATTTGAAAATTGTAGGTAACCTAGACACAGATTACGGTGTGCCTTTTGCATGTTGTGGATATGCGTGGAAAGGAAAGAGATACAAACTCAAACCTTCTTCGCTTGATGATGGTCATGGTTCTCGTTGTCGATTTCGCCTTTTGAACATTGCTTAGTGAATAGTTAGTTGATCGAATCCAACAATGTTTAATTAGAGGCTTTTCATTTCTCTGCCAGATGCCACTAGGTTATTGCAATTCGAGGCTCACCTACAACATAAACAGAAGCCGTGCTATAGCAACAATATCTATTTTTTTATATTTGTATAACCCAAGTTCACATATTGGATCCCTGCACCTCTTTCATTCGATTTATTGCTTGGCATTGGTAATCCAAAACAGTATTTCATTTTTCGTGTGAGTTCGGTTACTGCTTGAGGATTCTTCGTCTTCTTCAATGAATGTCACGGAATACAAGTCAAATCGATTCTCATTGGAACACTGGAACAGTCGTACTAGGACGTTTCTAAGTATTCATCTTAGATAGTCGCAGTCATTTGTGCATTGGCAACGGCTTTTCCTAAACAACGCCGGTACCTGTTGCCCACAAAGGTGGTTTTGGTGCTTCGCTTGGCCGCAGGTTCAAAGTAGCATCTAGGCACGTGTAGCACATCATCTCCAAAGCACTACGCTTGCTGCACCGAAACGAAGACGTTGAACACAGGTGTAGCATGAGATTAACGGAACACTCCTTTCACAGCTGTCTTTTGTATTATATTTAGTTCTGCTATTTATCGAGCGAGCTTAGCTGGCATCGTTGAGGCTGGTGTTTGATGTCTGGGCATAGTACTGTGCCTTAGACTGCCGAGCAGTACTGGGGTGTGAGTGAGACCTACTTATTGGAAGCGTGGGGATGCTTCGTGTACCCACCCATCTAACCAAATGGGTTAAGATCATTCACGGAAGGGATCAGTGGCTAGTAGACATGGATGATTGAATCATTCAATGTTCAAGGCGTTCTCGAGGTTTCTTAAGAACAAGAAAATCTCTCTTTGTTATTAACTGTGGAATCATATAAACACAATGTTGCCAGCCTGTATGGAAAATATGCCGTTTCGCTGGACATCGTGCATATCTCTTCATAGTCTTTGTGGAGTTCCTTGAATGTCATGTTAGTGAACATCCTGTGATTTGTCTAGTCTCTTTACGAACCTGCTTGTTAAGAACGTGGATAGCTGAGGCAAAAAAGTGGAGATGATGGCTTATGTAAAGCACTGAAGTTCTCTACCGTCGATCAATAGAACCTATGATGAAGTACTGATCAGGTATTAAGCACTATGTAAAATGAAATGAATAGGTGTAGAAGCATTTGTGTCTAGATGAATGCTTTAGTACTGTTTCTCATTTCCTTAGCTTAAGATTTAGCCGTAAATGTTCAAGAGTAGCAGTTATTTTTTCTTAACGTGGTGGTACTTCTGTCATCAGCTAATCTAGCTAATTTTTAGAACCCGTCCGAACTGATTCCATACAATCCTTTCGGTTTCGGATTATGAGCATCGTTAAAGGCATAGACCAGAAAAAAAACTCCAGTCTCGGTAGTAGATGTGTTTGAGGACAAAGTAACTCTTAACACGAACGTTTTTTTTCGGATGAGTACCTCTGGACTACATCTCGACACGAACATCTACAGTCTCTAACACGTGATTAGTCACCGGTTTACAACAAAAAGCAACGACGACGTGGATGATTCAGCCAACAGCATCGGTACGCAATGGAGTGAACGGATTAACGCATTAATGTTACAACTGACAGAGGCACAGGATCAATCTCGACGAAGTTTTTTCTTTCAAAACTGCAGAAATCACAGAGGTAGCTAAGAGTCAGACTGTAACTAATTCATACTTATTCCCACTAGATAACAGAAATTATAACATTACAAATGGACTTTATTACTTACATTTCGGCAAATCAAGGATGGTTTCTATGGTTATTGGAAGCATAATGTCATACACTGCTCAGAGAATATGATCCTGCCGAACTTATATCAATTTTGTTATCTCCTAAAAAGTTTCGGTAACTTTACGACAAAGTGAATAATAAATAGATCTAGTAGAAAACCAGCATCTGACAAAAACGTTCCTTATCTATTCAGATGAAAACACAGAGACCTCTTAGAGTTTGCTAATCAGTGATACTTTACAATAGGAGTTTTGGGACTGAATATGTTTAAATACGACAACCGCCGATAAAGTTCGATATTGGAATTGAAACACATCAGAGACGATGGAAGAGAGCTCGGTGCTTCTGTCAAATACCTATAATGTGTGAACATAAAATTGAGCCAACTCTGTTGAGCGTAATAAAGGCTTGGATAAAGGACGAGTCTTGGAGTTCCTAGAGGTGTCGTGCCCTTCTTGCTGTTTTTAAGTCGGAACTGTTAGACGACGACCGTATTGATAGTCCGTTTAGCGTGCTGCTCAGGCTCTCTACGGATGAGTGCCTGAAACAATAAATGGAAGAAAATGTGGAAAGTAAAGTGTTTCAAAAATGAGTGATAGAAAGTGAAAAAGACAAGAATAGTTGGATACGAAGAACAGAATTTATAGCAGTACAGTCAAAATCTGCGGACATATATGACTAGTACGATAATAAAATGTACAACAGTGGTGGAAGGCATTCCTATGTGTTATCTGTTCTGAAATTTAGGTATTTCTGAAGTGTTTTCCCTTTTTTGTGAAAATCGTCTAGTCAAAATCATTAGAATGAAGGTGAAATCCCCATCATTCTGCAATTTCAAGTATGCAGTACCAAAGGAAATGAAAGAAAGAGAGAGGGAGGAAGCAAAGGGAGAGAGATGAGTATGTATAAAACAGACAGGTCGATAGGTAGAAGAGAGAGATAAATAAAAATACACAAGGCCCGAAAGACCTAGGAAAGTGATAGGAAGAGACCTATGTGTGGCGAGCGCCGTTAGACCCAACTTCTTCAATCGTTTCCAATACTTAACGACATCGACACCACCCCATCCAGCATTCTCGAGACGATCAAAATATCTAAAACATGGGAAAGTGAACATCTTGAGCATGAACTTGTAGCAACAATGCAGCCGAAGATTCTTAAAATTAGAGGACTATTGTTTTAAACATGAAGGATAAAAGGACAAAGCACTCGGCGTTGATCAATTCCTGAGGAATACGCCATGCACTCGACTTCACTAAGCACCGTTCGGGGGTGATTGAATGCATATCTTATGCTTATAATGACTCGCGGTGGCCTAGTATCGAGCCAGTGCTGCTATCCCGATAGACAAGTCTGGTACCAATTTTTCGACCCCGGAGGAATGGAAGGCTTGGTGATCCTTGGCGCGGGGATCGATCCTACATGTGTTGCAGGGCGCCTCCGACCACTGGGCTACGCGCGCCTTTTGTTTCTTCTGCTAATGCTAGATATGTTTTAAACATATCACAAAGAATAGGCGTTTTTCCTATACTACCAAGGAGTCTAAAATAATTTTTACGTACTGAAATTGGCAACGATACCCTGTGTCATAATGCTTTGTAGACTCTTTTTTTTATTAGCTCACTACTTAGTAACTCTTTCTTTTCTACATCCCTTTATCGCTATTATAATCTTCTGTTAATTCATTACTGAATGATTCCAACAAGAGTCGTCAAGGTTTTCTTTTTTTTTTTTTCTCCATTCCTCTCCGTCGCACACGAATGTCAAACCATAGAGGAACTTACTGGAAAATTGAACCTCTGTCGTCAGCTAATTATTTCCAGTGTTTTGAATGACTGAAGCCATTTCAACCACTATGACTGTAGAGATACTTACTTGAAAGTTGAAATTATTCCTCTGTTTGAGACATTAGAAGCGTATATTACTTCAAAGGTGTCTACAATTTCGCTTTGAATAGTTCTACAATTTATTGTTTCAGAACCTCTACCACATCTTTGTAGGCTATCTGGCCAGGGAAAGATTTATGCGGGTAGAAGTTCCTTTGAAACATTTACACCAGTGTTGTGCATTCCGCTTGGTTAGGTAACACAAAGAATATTAATGTTCCTCGCTAAGGTTCTTCATGCACATCCGCCATCATTTTCGAATCAAACCACCGCCATGGACGACGGCTACGAAGCGAAGAAACGAGTGGAATATATGCTGTGGTCCACAGAACTCGTGAAGAGGGTTATCGAAGTAACCATGTAAAGAAGGTTCTTCATGGAAACAGTTTCACTATCGAGTCGGTAGTTTCCTTATTTTGCGCTTAACATCGTGGTGCGTAGTAGCTCATTGACGTCAGCTCTTCTGATATTGTCAAGTTACATCCACCTCGATCCACCTGATTTTTCCCATTCCGACAATGTAGGGCAGCGTTCAAGAACTATGGTCTTGGACGTGGATCCTAAACCTGACCCCTTTCCTTACCTATTTCACATGGCATGTTCTTGGCATCAGTCTCTTGATAACACTTTCGGTAACGTTGACCACATTTTCATCCTGCTCACTCATGTAAGGTTCATTTTCTTCACTAAACCATGGAAGCTACCTATGGTGCTCAAGTTCTCCTACTTAGACCTGCACTTAATGTTCATCATGTTGACTTCTTGACACAAGCCTATGTTGATGAATAATTCGAAAATACTCCATGCATTTAGGATGCATAAATATCGAATGAAACAAAATCGTTTCTCATAAACGTCAATTCCTCTGCACTGCCGAAATCCGAACATCCTCCAATACACGAGCAGTTGAAATCGAGCAACAGTTGCTTCGCTTCGTCAGTGTTTAGTGTTAACCATAACCTGCACTATGTCATTAGCATCGAAACGAAGGCATCATGCGTTTCCAGTTTTCTGAGAACGTTCTTATATATGACTGTTATGACTATTTTCAAGCCCATTTCTTCAAATGGATTATGAAGCTATTCATGGAAAATCGAAATTGTAGTTGCGGCACCCAGCAGTTTATTAACGATCCTTTATTGTTTAGCGAATGTCTTGATTGTCCAAAACTGTAATTGTCACCTCAGTGGTATTGAACACTTTGACTAAGCCGATAAAGGTAGAAAATTCGCATCCTGCACACATTTCAATGAACTATAGACGCAAGCCATCATACTGAGCTCTGTTCAAAAGTTCCTCTAATTTTTCTAAAAATTTTTTTTAATTTCTAAAATCTAAAGATTTTCCTGTATGACTGTTATTCCTCTAATATTCCGTTGATCCTGTTGAAGACGACAATATTACTCTAATGCCTGTAAACGGCAGTAGGCAGGGTGGGGAAAGTTATCGATGTCTTGTATTTTACTCTTGTATGAAAACGTTATTTGCTTCTTTTCAACTGAGATCTATGTTCGGATCAGTTCTTGTCGAGGTCGAGCGTAATGCTTTCATCAAAGATAACGAATGCACAGACAAATCCAAAGAGATTCTTGGACGAAAGGATGCAAAATAATGAACTAACTGAAGGAAGTGCCGAAATCTGTACAACACATGGAAACGTGTCGTACAAATAAATGGCTATAAAAAGCTAATATATTTGTTAGCATATATACTTAAATTCGAAAGTGCCATATCCGATGTGTTGGGAAAAAAAGCAGCCAAAATGCATTTGATCGAAAAGCAAAAGCCAAATTGTTTTCGACCAGCGCTTAATAAACTTGTGATTCATATTGTCCCAAGACTATTATTATTTTCATCGTTATACTTTTAAAAGGGCGCGTGTGGAGCAGTGGTCGGAGGCGCCCTCCAACACACGTGGAACGATCGCCGCGCCCATGGCCCACCAAGCCTTCCATCCTTCCGGGGTCGGCAAATTGGTACCAGGCTTGTCTGGGATGATAATGGCACTGGCTTGATACATCGGTAGGCCACCGCAAATCATTGTAAAGGCAAGATATACATTCAATCGCCTCCAAATGATGCTTAATGAAGTCGAATGAATGACGCATCGCTCACGGACTGGCCAACGTCGAGAGCTTCATCCCTTATTTTTAGCTTTAGTTTTGAAATTCGCTTAGTATAAAGGCTTTATCATATGTCTCTTGTTCATGGAATGAATTAAACGGGCACAATTTGCTGCTATGTACGTCACTTGTCAAAGTAGTGCAGGTGGTTCTGCTTGTTCGAGGAGAACCAAGACGACCACTTCAATGAGAAGCAGCTGAGAATGAGCCTAAGGCAATACTTAACCGGTATCTCAACATGTCGTACGTTGTCTCTGGTTCGTTTTTAATCTCCGATCTACCATTTGGTGAATGACAATTTACTTTCACAACTAATACAAGATGTCTAACATTAATAGAGATCGTGCTTTCTTTACTCTGTCCAGTGTTTTTTTTCAACCTAACTTTACTTCCTAGCTACTGATTATGAGTACAATAATCCTCTTATCTACCAATGTATCGGACAGTGAATCCAACAAAAGGGTAGTATTGTTAGCTTGGAATTTCTGTCTAAGACTGATATATGCACTAAATGATCTTTTCCTTTTCATTTTTCTAAGATTACTGTTGTCTGTCGAAGACCGAGATTTTACAGACCTTCGCATAATTCGATCGCGAACTCGCTGCTCCACGTCGGTCAGGGGTGATATGGCTGTGGCCAAAGCGATGTTGTCTCGCACCTACAAGTTACTTGGATACCAGACATGTCTGACAACCACTATTCTAAAGTTTCCTGCCGAAATTAAAACATTAAAACATATGTATGAGTTGGAGAACAACTAAACAACCTGTTGGATGTTATCCATACCGACTACACACGAAGCAGTTCCAGGCACTTCAAAGGCGTAGGTTAAGGCGAGTTTTGAAATCGAAACCTTTTTTGACTGAAAAAATATTTGTTGTGAAAAACAAACCAATTTGTAAACATTCCATATTCCTTCTAGACTTCGTTAGTTCACTATCTCGATTTGAAGACATGGACAAGACTGCTCAAATAAAAGTTAATCTTTGATTTTGCTAGTAATTCCAACATTATTGCACTAACTATACAGTAATGCGTAGCGGCAAGACAAGCTTCCTTGATGAAATCGGCTGCCGGATGCCACGGCGGCGGCCCTCGTTCGGTAAGCAGACCCATAGAGAGTGGTGAACCATTTAGTACACCAATATTTTTCTTCTGAATCACATAAATCTTTAGGCGACAAGTTACTACCTTTTTAGACATAATAACTTTGTACTTCCTTCCCAGTAACTTTAAACAGTTCTGTGTTTCCGCATCTTCCGGATGATCGAATTCATCTTAATCGTGCACTACCTCGTTGTATCTGGAGGTTTATCACAGCGGGATTACCCAAGCCAAGGAATTCGACATTTTCACCCTCAATCCTAGCTACGATCAAATCAAGTGTCAAGTTTTGTTTCCCATCCTGGTAACAATATAGTCATTGGTCGGGAAGTGGTTACAACTTGCGAAAGTCCTAGCACGGTCATTTTGAGACAACGGTAAATAACGCTATGACCATCCAAAGAATAGTTCTAGTAAAATAGAACATGTGGTGGGGCGATTATTTGTGATTCATGAAGAATGTACATCCAAGTACTGATGGTATTCACGAGGCCGAACTCGGTCAATAATGCGCAGCTACAAGAAATCCTTCAGCATTATTTTAAATTTCTACGGCTAATCGCTTTTGCACTGGGTGAATATTTCATAAGATTTTTCTAATATATGACTAGATTTGGCGTACAAATCTGTACACCAAACAGTCGAAGATAAGGTGGGCTGGACACGTAATGCGTATGAATGACAACCGATGGACAAGAGCCGTCAGTGACTGGATTCCTCAGGATGTCAAACGTACTGCAGGAAGACCACCGACCCGACGGTTAGAGTTCTTCATGAAGAGCCTAGAAGAAAGATAGGATGCTCGACGAGTCCCTAGAGCGAGAAGAACCCACTGGGCTACTCTTGCACGCGACAGGGAAAATGGAAGATTTACTGGCGCCCGCTCGAGTCACTCAACGATCAGCGGGACTGCAGGTGATACAGGTGACTAGATTTATTTTCGCCATAGCATTTAAGAGATACTTGGATGGTCCTCTTCACTTGTTGTGAGCCCCCTAACATAATTTCCATTCTATGAGGAATTGCTGGTTAAGCCATTGTGGTTCCCTGGGGTCCTGAGGACAGCCTGGCCAAAGTCTGCCCCAGGTCATCGTCACCACAAGCAGTCGCAGCCCTTGTAGATCAGAGAGAGATTTGCCACCACGAGACTAGTTTGATACCAGGACGGTGGTAGATCATGCCATCGGTTTACTCTAAGCTTGGCTTCTTGATGGAAACGCCGGACTCCTTCTCGGCTTGGGAGATCCTGCCGTCTGAACGAATTCCCCGTTGTACATCGCATCCCGACACCCAGGAACACCTCCCAACCACGATGAGATGGTAAACCGTTGGGAGGATTTAAGATATACCTGAAGCATATAAGTGAAGTTTCCCAATGAGTTGTCGTTCATTGATCCATGACAATACGTTAAAACAACATCAATTTTTACAGTAGAACAATCAATTATAGAGCTGAAAAACGTTGTTCAGAGTTAGTTTTCCACTTACTTTTATTTGTACACAACGAAAGCTAGTGAATATTTATTGCCCAGTCGTTCTTTTGTCTTCGTTCTCGTTCAGAGAACTCAGTTGTCTAAATCCTTTTCACAAACAAACCAAACATTAAAAAGCCACATAAAGTGTGGTTATAATAAGAAACAACTCACACTAATTTCCTGAGTTCATACCCGGTAAGTCCAATATACCGTATTTTTCCCGAATCTCGCGCCATTTCGAGTGCTTGCAGAGTTTCGTATAATATTATGCTCTGTTGTGGTGAAAAATCAGCGTCATGAATCTGAAACACAACGTTCTAATAGTATCGATATCTTAAACTAGCAATACCTAGCGCTTAAGACACCAAGTTCTTTCATCAAATAAGTTTCTTGAAAGGGCAGTTTCATCAGTGTTTACATCTAAAAAGAATAAAATAAAGGATCAAAATAAAGTTCTTGGCGTTGATCGATTCCCGAGGGATGTGCCGAGCATACGATTTCATTGAGCATCATTACAGGTGATTGAATGCATATCGGTCCTTTACAATTACTCGCGGTGGCCTACCGATGTATCCAGTCAGTACTGCTATCCTCTCGGACAGGTTTCTTACCAATTCGTTTGACGATCCCGAAAGGATAGAAGGCTTAGTGAGCCTCGAGCGCAGAATCGAACCCACATGTATTGCAGGGCACCTCTAGCCAGTGTGCTACACGGGCCCCACAAAAATAATGCACTAACATAAGTTACTACGAGACTGCATTAGGTTGCTAGGAAAATAATGAATTGGTTGGGAAGGTTTTTAAAATCATTCTAACAAAATTTGGTTTAATTTATGGAATAACCTTCATAATGATCGATCACTTCAGTCCAAATTAGGCAAAACGCTTTCCTTGTATAACTGTGACAAATGCACCTCAAAAAATTGGTATAGTCACAATTTCAGGCTGTCGAAAAATTAGTTACGTGCTCTACATGGATAGATCTTTCTAAATTCAAGTGAGATAAAAGTCAGATGGCGAAGAATTTGGGCAGTGTACAAGACGTAAGACCCTTTTGTAAGCCAGTTTTCCAACCTTCTAGAAACCCACCAAGCAGTGTGTAGTAGAAGTTGGGGGAGGCGATAAATTCAAGTTCTTTTTTTCAGCCGCTTGTTTCCCAGCCCACAGGAACGCATGATATGACACTTCCACAGAAAGCAAGGATGAAGGTGTATGAGATCGGCCTTGGCTGAGATACCTAATGTTCTCGCTTTGGAAGCCAGAAGGTATGGCACGTGTCGGTTTTGTAAACAATCCAGGTCTCGTTCATCGTCACCAAATGCTTCAATAATTCGCTATTATGGAATAGCCACAAAGCTTGCAGGATGACGAACGCTGAACATGGACGGATTTAACCGATTATAAGTTTGTTATACCTAGATAGTACAAAGCGGAATCCCTCCACCAGTCCACCCAAATTTACGTCAATAGACCTATCAGGATGGCTTCGTCGCTAATGTACGTCGAAAGTGAGGTGCAGATCTGTATTTTTGCAAACTACAAGGCTCGTCGAAAAAGCGTACGAACAAGGGAACGGTGGTGGTGAACAACGCCTAGTGTACTTGGTATTCATAGCCATGGGTGATGTATTTATCCCAAGTGCGCGAGCTATTCCTAATGGGACCGGAACTCAATGTTTTTGCACTTTGTTTCCTTTCCAAACGTGTTCTGCATTTTAGCGATGAGACGAGGGAAATCTTCCAAAAGGTTCTATAACGTATAATATATCTCATGCGGAAACCTTTTCAATCTAGGAAGGCGAATGAAAACTCTCAAATATTACCCGGATAGAGAAAAATCTTCCTGAAAAATACATTTCTGGTTCTTGCCAAGCTTTAGTATTAAATTTAACCCATAGGCCAAGAGACTGCTTACTTGGATAAAGCAAATATCTACATAGGTGAGTTTCAATCGTTTTAAACTGTTCATCAGTGACTCCAGCACTTTGTCAGCTCGAAAGTCAAACGTCCTCGCATAGTCCAGCTCAAAACGGCCGACCGAAAAATGGACATTCAATTAGTAGAACACAAAAACTAAGATAAAAAATGTGTAACTAAGCATTAGAAGAAGGAACTGACCTTCGTGCTTATGTAGTAAGCTTTGCGTGGAATTTTCGATAATACCTAGATGAAACGATTAAAATTAATGAGATTGCACTTGAATCAAATGAAAAATAGGACGAAAATGTTGGTTATTTCGAAAAAAATATAGCTGAAAAAATAATTGGGGACGCGTATAGCGCAGCGGTCGGAAGCGCTCTGCAATACACATGGGACAGATCCCTACGCCCCAGCTTACCAAACAATTCATCCCTCCAGGGTCTGAAAATTGGTACTGGACTTGTCTGAGAGGAGAAGATAGCAGCATTGACACGACACATCAGTAGGCCACCAGAGTCACTGTAAAGACCGGACATGCACTTACTCACCTTTAACGAAGATTAATGAAGTCGAATGCATGGTGCAATGCACCACTCAGATATTTACCAACGCCGACAGCTTTATCTTTTTTGTGGTTAATTATACAAATACAATCTTGCTGAGATATTTGCAAAACTCTGCACCGCCGGTGTCTGCGGCGAGAACCGAAACTAGCTATTATCACCCTTTCCGGGGGATCACCACCAGACCATGCGTGTCCTTTGCTTCGCCTTTCACTCAGCAATGTTTTATAGATGCTAGTAGCAATTATGTACCAACGGGATTTCACATCATGCCCTGACACTAAAAAAGATAGCCAATAAATAAAAAATGATTCCACTGTGATTTAAACTACAGCTTCAGCTTAACTGGGTTCAATGCCGATTTGTGCGCCAGATCAACCCCGTTGACGGATGATCGCTGATAGCACCTATAAAATACGGCTGAAAGAAAAGCGAAAGGAAGGACACGCATGTGGTGAACACATCAGGCCTCGGAAAGGATAATAACGGGGCTCGGCCTCCATGCAGACACTCGCGGCCCGGATTTTTGCAAACATCTCAGCATCACTGTAGTTGTATTTCACATCATATCTTGCCATGAAGAAGGAATAGGCAGTAAATAAAAGTGATTACACTACTGACTATACTTATTATTTATTTACATGACCCGTCATTACATCTACTGTAAGCTTCCCAGCCGTCCCTGCATTCGATTCGTTTTCTTCGCACTCACCGTCCACAAGGGTCTTCCAACATTTTGCGTATTGTTTCAACTCGTACTTGAGGATTTCGTCTTCCCTATGAATATCGTAGAATACTGATCGATTTTATTCTTCTTGAAATCTTTGAGATTGCCGAGCTGAGGTGTTCCCACGTGGCCTGAAAGACAGCGTTGTGGAGGATGTCGAACCAGCACTTTGTTTCTTGATGAACTGAATCACTAACCACTTTCTTGGCTCATCCTTGGGATGACGTCTAATTCCATGTCTGATACGAACTTGGACAACTGGTTCGCCATTGAGGAGGATACATTGTTAACAGTGCTGGTTTTTCGACAATAGCCAACGATTTCTCGATAACTAGAGGACTTGTGGCAATGGAAACATGACAAAGCCACAGAAAAGACTTCACTTTATAAAATCGTTCGCGTTTCTCTTTGCTTCTCACAAGACCAATATGATTTTTGGGTTCGACTCCTGTTTGAGGATGTTGTGTTCTTTATGAATCTCGCTGAATGATGGCCAAGTCTGTCTGAAATCCTGGGATAGCCGTATTAGGGCATTTCAAGGTATGGTGTATCCAGAGCTTCCCAGACAAGTCTGATACCAATTTTCTGAATACGGTGGGATCGGTGCTTTACTTGGCTTTAGGCTGGGTCGAATAAGATCTTCGTGAGGTGAGATTGTTTTGATCACGTTTTTCCCAATGTTTAGTTTGAGTTGGCAATATTTAGCACATTCAATTCGAGATTGGTTTCTGGTGCAGGCAGTGAATAAATTCGTTTTCAAACCTAATTTTTCATAATGAACTTCTATAGACATGCTAATATAGGTGAAAGTAGAGAACACAGACAGGCTACAAATGCAACAAACACTGACTACTTTGACGTCTAAAAGATCGTGTCGAACGTACATTTCCGAGGATGGATTCGCTGCGTGCATGACCATACCAATAAGCAGTGTCAATAAAGTTGATACCGTTCCGAAGTGCTGTCTCAACGATCTGAGTTATCGAGCTGTCAACATTGCCGAACATACCGCTGATTGGTGCTGAGCCTTAAAATGTTCTGTTGCATGACACTCATGAACGGTTCACAGGTGCCACCTTACGTTTGTTGTTGTTCACGGAACTTGTAGCCATCGGTAATCTGCGGCGATAATTCGATGTACTTCAACATATTACCTGCTAGTTATTTTTTGGGAAAACACGACTTCGGCTATTGTAGAAACAAGGTAACTGTTCTACGACTTCTCGAAAGAACAATTATTGGAACCAGAAGGGGTTTATGGGAGGTCGTCCGCAACTACTGCAATCTTCTCGACATTCACATCCATTTGCCTTCGAATCATCTCAGTGAAGATGGATATTCCCATTTGAAGTTCAATATCCCACTAGGGAACGTATAACGTATAAGAAACGTACGATACACAGTTCAGGAGAATAGCCAGATGAAAATAAAACAAAGACGATTGTCGTTTTACACTCACCAAAGCTGATTTTCGAGACGATCATTTCGGTTTGACCAAGTCGTCGGTACTGCATACGACGGACAGCAGCCTCATCGTGAAATCGAGCCACAAAAGTGGGAGGAAGTGAAGGCTGAAAACGAGATCTGATTGGACGACAGAGTAATCACACCAATCCGCTCCATTATAATTGAAATCGAAAATAAATTCCTCTTCAACCAAAGTCTAGAAATACTAATAGCCATAAAAGCAGAAATGCATAGTTGCAAAACGTTATTTTTAAATATCATTAGTGCAATTCAAAGGCTAACTGTCAATTAACCGCGATATTAACAAGCCATTTCGTTCTTCCGAATTGTTCTTTATGAGCTCACACGAAGTTTCTAACACACTGTTTTAGTTTTCGATGGCAAACGTTTCGCGGCCTCACCTTCTTCAGGGACACTTTCGTTTATTAAGGAATGAGATCACCAGTGTTACCGCTCATATAATTTAATAAAGAAAATCTTCATGGAGAAGGAAAATGGGTTTGGAGGAAGCGAAGTTGCCGGAATGTTCCTGTATCACCTGTTAATCGTTGAGTGACTCGAGCGGCAGCAGGTAAATCTTCCATTTATCCCTGTAGTAGCCCAGTGGGTGCTGCTCGCTCTAGGGACTCATCGACCATCATATATTTCTTTTAGGCTTTTCGTGAAGAACACTGACCATCGAGTCGGTGGTCTTGCTGAAGTGCGTTTAACATACCGAGGAATCCAGTCACCAACGGCTCTTGTCCATCGGTTGTCATTCACATGTATTAGGTCAGCGGCTCATCTCATCTTCGACTGTTGCGCGTACAGAACGGCATCTTTAATTTTCGATCGTTGAATCAGGTCGGAGCTTCGGATCCCATCCCTTACTTGTCTGCAGCGGGATACTCCTAGCATTGTCCTTTCGACTGCGCGTTAGATGACGCTGAGTGATCTTCCATCCTGCTTACTCAGCGACCAGGCTTCTGAAGCATATGTTAGGGCAGGAAGTACCGTTGAGTCGAAAAGGTGGGCACGAAGTCGGGAGTTCTTTGTTCTCTTCACTACATCCTCGATGCTCTTGAAAGCTCCCCAAGGAGCTCGTTTTCTTCTGCTCAGCTCTGGAGCTAGGTCGTTCATCACATAGATTTCCCGACCTAGAACGATATAACTGGAGCATTCGGAGATATTTGTTCCGTTGAGCGTGAATGGAGCATGCGAAACCAATCCGTTCTTCACGAACATCGTTTTTGTGGGATTTGGTCGAAGACCAATGTTTCCACAGGCTTTATCAAAGTCGTCAAGCATACGTTCCACTTGGCTAATGTTTGGTGTTATAAGAACGATGTTATCAGCAAAGCGAAGATGGTGTAACTGCTGACCGTCGGTTTTCACTCACATATGATCCCATTCTAATGTTCACATGACGTTCTGGACGGTGGCGGCAAATAATTTTGAAGAGATGGTATCGCCTTGCCCAATTCCTCTTTTGACGTCGACGTTAAGCTGTAAAGTGGTGATATCTTGGTCGTGAAATTTTTGTACAGCTCACAACGAATTTTTATGAACTCAATAGGGACCATTTGACTA